ATTTTTCTGTTGCAGTGGAAAATTTAACTGAATTGCCTTTTCAATTTAATATTGATTTAATTCCACTCTGATGCTGGGTTTTTAAAATATTTTACCACATAAATCACTTTTGGATATAATTCTATTATACTTCTTTATTGCTTTTCTTTTGTGATATAATTTTAAAATTCTATCTACTAGAAATATATTTGAGTTGAGGTAAATTTCAAAATATTTGTCCTATTTAATGTCATATATGTGATTTCTTTCTTTTTAAAAAAATCATTTTACTGGGGGCTCATACAACTCTTATCACAACCCATACATCCATCCATTGAGTCAAGCACATTTTTTTTTCTTCTTAATGGAATGGTTTATTATGTAATTTCAAGGGAAGTACTCTAGTATACATTCACCTAGCCAACTCTTTTCTCTTATCCTATTTTCTAAGTCAAGCACATTTGTACATTTGTTTCCATCATCATTCTCAAACCATTTTCTTTCTACTTGAGCCCTTGGTATCAGCTCCTCATTTTTTATATGTGATTTCTAATATATGTTAATAGCTCTCAGGAAGTATGCGACATCATAAACTAAGGTCTTGTAATAAAAATACATTTAGAACACTACTACTCGATCATTTATCAAATAAAGACAAAATTTAAAAAAAAACTTTTCCTGGGGCTATAGATAGTCAAAATTCTAAAAAAAAAAAATGTGACGAGAAACATTGTGTTTCAGAATAAGTATGAGATATAACTTATAGAAGAAAGGATTTTAACAGTACACCAGCACCTAAGCATCAAAAACTACTTCAAATAACAGTTTTAAAAATGAATTATTTTCAGGTTTCTATGTAGCAAAGAAAAGGTATATACTCCCAAGGCAATCTCACCCAGAGGACCAACACAACTCCCTATCCACGGGTGACTTTGGCATCATATGGTTCAGCCCTCTCAAACTTCAGATCCCATTTCTGCAGGACTTCTGCACCTGGTCATCCTATCAGTGTTAGGTGTTGTCGAGTTGGTTCAGATTCATAGCAACCAGGTGTACAACGGAATAAAGCAGTGCCCCATCTTCACAATCACTGTTATGTTTGAGCCCATTGTTGCAGCCACTGTGCAAATCCATCTGATGGAGGCTCCCTCCTCTGGGGACTGGTCCTTCCGAGCAGACAGAACTCCACTGCTATGCAGAGCTCTCTGCTGCTGATTTTTCAGAATGGGTTCCTCTTACTTCCTCCTGTTCTCGCAGTCTGGAAGCTCCAACGAAACATGCCCACCCCAAGGCAGCCCTGCCGGTACTTGAAATACCGGGGGCAGAGCTTCCAGCATCACAGTAAGGCGGGACTAAAATGGCGCAGCAGAAGACGGCCTTCTCTTTGAACAGGTGACTTTCCATTAGCAGCCCAGCACCCACCCTACAGGGCCACCGGGGCTCCTTGGTGAGGCTGAAGACACTTAAATTTGAATATGACAAAATCGTTTTGTTCATTTCCCATTCCATAAAGGTAAAACTAAATCACTGAACCTGATCTTTGTCCTTTATTTTTTAGTTCATTACAGATAAAACTTAAAACAACCTAAGTTAAAACATCTGAATGTTATTCTCAGTAAATCTCCTTTCCCTCTTTTCTGGCTCAGTTTAGACTTATGAACTGTACTTCTACAGCTCTCTCAGACTTAGCCCCTTCCTGGAATGGTCAAATGAAACAGAACAAATACAAACCAACATCCTGGTCATCAGTGGAGGGAGCCCTGGAGTCGTAGTCGTTACTTGTTTGGCTGTGATTGGCAAGATCAGACGTTCAATACCACTGTAAAAAGATACATTTAGAAAGCTACCGCTTGATCATTTATCAAATAAAGACTTTGTCGGAGAAAGATGGGCTTTCTACTCCCATGAGGTTACATTCTCAGAAACCCACAGGAGCAGTTCTACCCTGCCCTATAGATTTGCCATGAGCCTGCATTGACTTGATGGCAGTGAGTTTTTGTTTTGTTTGGTTTTAGGCATTAGTGATCTGAAATGGACTGGTATTGGCCATTTTGAATCAGAAAATCATATGGTTTAGTATGCTGGGAATGAAACAATAAAGAGGAATGGTGTTGAATTCATCCCCCCAAAAGAACTTTTTAAGATACATCTTGAAGTACAATGCTGTCAGTGGTAGGATTTTATCGGTCTGCCTTCAAGGAAATCCAATCATGCAATTGTTACTCAAATCTATGCACCAACCACAATAGCTAGTGTTGAATAAACTGAACAATTCTACGATGTCTTCAGTGTGAAATCAATCAAACATGCAATCAAGATGTATTGATAATTACTGGTGATTGGAAGACAAACGTTGGAAACAAAGAGGAAGGAACAGTAGATAGAAAAGAAGCTGGAGAGTGCATGATAGAATTTTGCAAGACCAAAGAGTCCTTGATTGCAAATGCTTTTTTTCAACAACACAAAAGGAGATTGTGTGTGTGTGTGTGTGTACACACACGTATACATCTGGAGAAAAAATATTTATATATATACTTTTCCAGATGGAATGCACAGAAATCAAATTGACTCCATTTGTTGGAAGAGGCACTCACTACTCACTAACAACACAACAGCTAAAAGGAGACCAGGGGCTGACTGTGGAACAGACCATCAATTGCTCATATGTTAGTTCAGTTTGAAGCTGAAGAAAATGAAAACAAGTCCATGAGAAAACAAATATGTTCTCGAGTGTATCCCACCTAAATTTTGAGAACATCTCAAGAATAGATTTGCTGCATTAACCACTAATGGCAGAAAACCCAATGGGCTGTGGTATGACATCAAGACCATCATTCATGAAGAAAGCAAAAGGTCGTTTAAAAGACGGGAAAGAAAGAAAGGATCAAAATGAATGTCAGATGAAACTCTGAAACTTGCTGTTAATTGAATAGCTAAGGCAAATGGAAGAAATGATGAAGTCAAGGAGATGAATACAAAATTTCAAAAGGCAGCTAGAGAAGATTAATTAATATATTATACTGAAATGTGCAAAAAACCTAGAAAACCAGAAAAGACCAACACACTCAGCATATCTTAACTGAAATAACAAGAAAAAAGTTCAAGCCTGGAGTTGCAAAATTGAAAGATTCTATGGACAAACTATTGAATGACAGAGAAAGCATCAAAAGACGATGGAAATAATATACAGTCTCACTGCACCAAAAAGAATTAGTCAACGTTCAACCATTCTAGGAGGTAGCATATGAGTAAGAACCAATGGCACTGAAAGAAGAAGTTCAAGTTGCACTGAAAGCATTACCCAAGAACAAGGCTCCAAGAATTGATGGAATGCCAGTTGAAATGTTTCATCAAGCTGATGAAGCACTAGAAGCACTCATTCATTCATGCCAAGAAGTTTGGAAGACAGGTACTTGGCCAACTCACAGGAAGAGATCCATATTTGTACTCATTCCAAAGAAAGTGACCCCCCAAAATGCTAAAATAATACAATGTCTTCAATATCACTTGCGCGTAATATTTTGCTGAAGACCAGCCAACAAGGGATGCAGCAATACACTGACAGGGAGCTGCTAGAGGTTCAGGCTGAATTCAGAAGAGGGCCAGGTGGACCTTGGCTAAAAGCAGAGAAGATGGGAAAGAGATCTCCTTGTGTCTATTGACTACGCCAAGGCATTCAACTCTGTGGACTATAATAAACTACATACAGCCTTGAGAAGAATGGGAATCCCAGAATATAACATTTGATCATGGGGAACTTGCACATGGAATAAGAGACGGTCGTGAGAACAGAACTACGGAATACTGCCTGGTTTAAAATCAGGAAAGGTGTGCGACAGGGTTGCATCCTCTCACAATATGTATTCACTCTGTATGCTAGGCAAATAATCAGAGAACCTGGATTACATGAAGAAGAATCAGGATTGGAGAAAGGTTTATTCACAACCTGTGATAGGCAGATGACCTAACCTGGCTTGCTGAAAATGAGGACTTGCAGCACTTGCTGATGAAGATCAAAGATTGCAGCCTTCAGTCTAGACTACAACTTAATGTAAAGAAAATCAAAAGCCTCACAACTGGCCCAGCAGGTAACATGATAAACGGAGAAGAATGAAATTGTGAAGAATTTTGTCTTGCTTGGATCCACAATCAATGCTCATGGAAGCAGCAGTCAAGAGATCAAAGGACACATTACATTGGGTAAATTTGCTACCCAAGACCTCTTTAAAGTATTGAAAAGCAAGGATGTTACATTGAGAACTAAAGTGCACCTGACACAAGCCATGGTGTTTTCAATTGCCTCTTATACACATGGACGTGGGACATGTCATAAGGATGGCTGAGGTAGAATCGATGCATCTGAATTGTGGTGCTGGAGAAGAAGATTGAAAATACCATGGACTGTCAGAAGAACAAACCAATCTGTCTTAGAAGTAGCACAACCAGAATGCTCCTTAGAGGACTGTATCCCTCGTACTTTGGGCGCGTTATCAAGATACACCAGACCCTGGTTGGAAAAGCGGAAGGGCAACAAAAATGACCTTCAGCAGGATGGCTGCCCGGATGGGCGCAAACATACAGACAATTGAGGAAGGAACAGGATCGACCAGTGTTTCGCTTTGGGTTGGCACCGACTCCACAGCAGCTAACAATGTGGTGCTGTGAAAAGATGGCCGATTTTTAAATTTTTGTGGAAGCGCCTGGGGTTTTAAACTCGGGACCTCCAGGAGGGAAAGCGGAAGGCGGGGCTATAATCGGCGGCCCTTTCCCGCGTCGGGCTCTGGGGTGAGGGTGGGAAGGCCTCCCGTGGCGAACCCCGCCCTCCAGCCGCTACTTCCCGGTGAAGCCCCGGGTGGAGAGAAACCGGATAGAAGAGTTTCGGACTGCGAGAGGCTAGAGCGGCCGTAACGCGCCCCGTGCGCGCTGACGTCATAGCAACGCGCAGCTGCGCCGGCCCCGCCCAACTCCGCCAGTCCCGTTTCCGGCGGGAGAGCGGAGCCGGGCGGAGCAGACCATACCCTCTCCGACGCGCCGCCTGCGTTGGACCGCGGCTCCTCAGCGGTTCTCGCCACAATGCCTCATCTGGAAAATACGGTGCTCTGTCGCGAATCCCAAGTGTCCACCTTGCAGTCCTTGTTTGGAGAGGTATTGTTTGCGCGGTCTTGCCGCGTGTTCCGTTTTTCCTGGTTTTGCCCCCGTGCTAGCTTGAGGGGCCGCCGACCATCTTTTGCAGTGAAGACCGGGGGTATTAGGCTTTTCACACACCTTCTCCTAGTAACTTCCGATTAGTCCCTTGACAAGAAAACTGCGAAGGAAGCCCTGGCCTGTAACTGCATAGGCCGGGCATTGGCCCAGAACAAACCCGGGGACTTCAAAAAGTTCGTGGAACAGGGTATTCCCCCACAAGCCTTTTGAAGCCTTCTCGTATTCTTGTACACACCTCACACTCCTGAGATGGAGTTCGTGGGGCTAACCCGGCTGAGCAGCGTTTTATATCACAAGTGTGTTTACGGGGTGCTATTCCAATATAAGTTCACATTCAAGTGAAATAGTTGGTGCTAATCAAGTGTACGGAGGTGGTTTTATGAGAACAGTGATGAGCCAAACAGTACTTGGGGGTTAAAAATTCAACAGCGTTTCCAGAATTACAGGAGCCCTGACGAGGTCTGGTCAGATGAGACCAAGTCAGGTGAAAACACAGCTCTGGAGCCCTTTCCACAGGTGGGAGGTACCATTCACCTGTTCAGTACGTAAGCTACCAGAATTTGGTGGCCTTTGTTTCAGGATCATTAATCAAATTTAGAATAAGCCTCAGATCTAATCTCTAAGGAGAGTAAATAAGACTTCAGGGTCAGACTCATTTGTTCTTCCCATTCCCCCACCCCCACCTCCCATCTTCTTCCATTGTCCACTAAAAAATGGCAGAAGGAAGTCTTAAGGTGACTTGTGAGAATATTAATGTTCACTTATATTTATGTATAGTGTCATTGAATCATTTTCTTGGTGGGGTACAAATGCATTTCTTCCCTGGAAATGGTAAACCAGGATCCTGTACCATAAGTGCCCCTCCTGAAAAATAATATACTTATTTCTCACTTAACTGCCTCATCATCTGACAACTCTGAAAAAAATCATCAGGCAGTGCCTCCTGGACCCCACGCAGGGCTGCACGTGAGCCCTGAGGTTCCCTCTATGGGTCACCCCAAACGATCGACCTGAGGTAACCAGGCCACATGGGGGATGGCAGCTGGGCTGCTAATGGAATGCCTTCTGTTGTCCCTCCTCAACGTCTCAAGTCCTGCCACAGAGGGCACAGGCTGATGGCAGGAGGACTCAAGGTCACAGATGGCCATGGCAAGGCCAGGTGAGCATCTGAAGATACTGGGGAGGTGTGTTGGAGGAGGGGACATCAGCATGGAAGACTGGGCATGTCCCTTGACTCACATTGAGCTTATTTCCCACAGTGCCCTGATCTTTGGCACCTCACGATGCCAATAAGCGAGGAATACAATGTTTGGGGGAAAATAGGGGTGACTACTATTGATTTAAATGGCTGCTTGAATGGGCTCAAATATAGCATTTATGAGGACGGCCCAGTGGTATGTTCTGTTGCACATAGAGTTGTGTGATTCGGAACGGACTTCATGGCACCGAGCAGTAGCAACAGCATTGACTGATTGGTCCTAAGTGGAGCCAGTGGTTAAATGTTGGACTGTTAACAGAGAGCTTGGTGTTTCAAACCCACCTTGGGAGACAAGCCTGTGGATCTGCTTCTGAAAAGGTCACCTCCTAGAAAGCCCAATGGGACAGTTCTCTTGTACACACCTGGATCACCATGAGTTGGAAAGGGCTCAATGGCAATTAACAAAAACCACAGTATTGCCTTAGTGGTTGCACACAGAGAGCATTTTGACCTTCGTGTTATTGAATCATGTTAAACATTATTCATATCTTCCCATGTGTGTCAGAGTAGATGTATGCTTCATAGTGTTTTCACTGGCTAAATTTTCAGAATTCACTGTTGTCCTCTGAGGCACTGCTGCGTACACACAAGCCTCCAGTTTCAGGTTAGCAGTCAAGGGCGTTAAACCAGTGCAACAGCCAGGGGTTCCAGTTGTCAAGTTTATCCTGAAAGTCCCTGAAATATCCTACAAAAATAGAAAATACAAGAGTCTGTATTTAAATCTGTATCATATGAAGCTCATTGCTGTTGAGTCAATTCTGATACTTAGTGACCCTCTAGTACAGGGTAGGCTGGTCCCCTTTGGTAGCTAAGTTACAGAAGCAATCATCCACATGTTTTTCCTGTGGAGCAGCTAACGGGTTTGAACCACAGCCCAATTAGCTGTGCCACCTTTGCACCTGTACAAGAACAAGCATAAATATGTGATGTATATCAATGAGTTCCCCCCCAAAAGAAAAACATCCAAACCTATTGCTGGGTTATTTAGTTGATTCCTACTCATAACAACCTTTTGGGACAGGGTAGAACTGGCCCCTGAGGTTTCCAAGGCAGCAGTCTTTATGAAAACAGGCTGACAGGAGGTTTTGCACTGCTAAGTGCAGAGGGGCTGAGGGTTTGAACAGCCAGCATTTTGGTTAACAGCTGAGCTTCAAAGTCTTTATAGGAGCAGACAATTCATCCTTCCCCTGACCTTGAGATCAGTAGCCCAACATTTAAGCCATGTCGTCACTGGGACTCCTTTTAGCAGTGGTTCTCAACCTTTCTAATGCCATGACCCTTTGATACAGTTCCTCATGTTGTGGTGACCCCCCAGCCATAAAATTATTTTCATTGCTACTTCATCACTGTAATTTTGCTACTGTTAGGAATGGGGCGACTCCTGTGAAAGGGTCATTCGACTCCCAAAGTAGTCGGGACCCCCAGGTTGAGAATCGCTGCCTTATAGTAATGTACAATGAAGCCCAAACCACTCACTGCCATCAAGTGGGTGCTGACTTGTGGCAACCCTATAGGACAGGGTAGAACTGCCTCTGTGAGCTTCCCAGGCTGTAACTCTCTATGGGGGGAGTAGAAAGCCCTATCGCTCTCCCTCGGAGCAACTGGTAGTTTTGAACTGCTGACCTTGCAATTAGTAGTCCTTATAATAATGCATAGTATGTGATTTGTAAAATCCCTTTTGTAAAAGTTATATTTGTAAAACATAACTACAGGTATTTTACTTACATAAAAGGAAATTCACTTATGGTTGAATTAAGCTTAAATGATGAATCCACTGTATGCTAACTATTGAATTAATTTGGATTGAATGCTGTGTTTAACTACATAAAATGTTCTCACGTGAGTTCATAAGTTTTTGTTCTGTTTTGCATGTGTAGACTGATACTTATCTTTTCTATCCTAGAGACACCATTTCAGCTTTCCATCCATTTTTATTTATGGACATACAGCCAGTGGAAAGACCTATGTTACACAAACTTTGTTGAAAACCTTAGAGGTAAGAATAACCCAAATAATGTTAATTGACTCAGAGAAGAGAAAGGATCTGGAGATCCTTT